ACACACACACACACACACACACACACACTGAGTCCCTTTTGTGTTCACTAACTACTCACTCTTAATGAAGAAATACAGACACAAAACAGAAAAGGGAAAGCACAAACATGGAGTCCATCTGTGTTGGCTGACACCTCCTGAGCATGGGGCCTGCCCTGGAGTGTGGTTAATATATCCAGTGCCACTCCATTTCCATTGAAGAAAAGGGATTCTCCCATTCTCAGTAGCTACCATTTGTAAATAGCTTCTTGACTGGTGTTGGGATTCTGTGGACACCTGCCCCACTCGGTGCAGGTGTTTTGTGTGGCTTGAGCTTGTGCAGGTCTTACGCATGTTGTCATAGTCTATGCGAGTTTACGAGTGGGTCAGCCCTGTTGTGTCTAGGAAATGTTATTTCCTTAAAATCTGATTTTGAGATTTAATTGCCAGTGTGATGGTTGTAGAGGTGGAGAGAAGTTTCAGAGGTGCCTGTACCAAGGAGGTTCCCCTGGAGGAAAGGATCAGTGCTGTTCTTGAGTGTCACTCTGAGAATGGCTTGCTGTGAAGTGCTTGGATTTTTTTGTTCCCAAAAGCATCTGTGTGTACTTTCTGGCTTCTCTTCTGCCCCTGCCATTTTACTATGAGACTGAAGAACCTCACTAGATGTGACACCCAATTTCGAGCTTCCCAAAGAAACTTCTTCTGTATATATTATCCAGTCTCAAATGTTTATCTATAAAAATAGACGATGGATGAAGACATTAGTGCTTTTTAGGTATAGATATCAATTCTCAGTGTGTCTTACAATGGTCAGTATGGCCTTACAAAGCCAAACTCCTGGCCTAACCTTTTTACATTCATCACATGGGGTATCTTTCATTTATCCAGGACCACCAACCCCCTCCCAATTTAGAGCCTTGACACTGTATGCCCTATATGTCTGGAATGCTTCTGACCATGTTCTGTCACTGGCTAAGAGCTAACCAGTCAGCTACAATGCCATTTCCGTAGGGAAGAAGCCTTTCCTAACTCCAGGTTTGGATCGTTCATAACTCTCTCTCTCTCTCTCTCTCTCTCTCTCTCTCTCTCTCTCTCTCTC